AAATATTCTAAGGTATATTCATATGCATCTTAAGTGCTTAGTTTAGGACAAATGTAGCCATATTTTGAGTAGAATTACTCTTCATTGATTGAACTATATCAGTTGATTGTTATCATTATATGGGCAAACTGAATTTCAGCGCATAGAATGAAGTCAAAAGTAAGAAGTTAGATTAGACTTGACATGTCACTGATCAGCAGAGACTAGTTAAATATTCTAGGGAATGTCTTGCGTTGTATAACATTCTCACTTGTGTTTATTCAAACTGCACCCAATGGGTGTTATGTAAATACTTGGACACTAAGTTGTACACGCTGGAATACAAGACTATGTAGAAGGCTCTGCAAGGTTAAGGCCATGTTTGTCTGATGAGTTACTTTAGAAATCTTTGGGAACTTCTGTAACTAAGCACATTCATTGTAATGCAGTGTCGTTTCACAACTGCTAATTTGGACATGATATTACCTTGTCGATCGGTCCCGACAGGATGTACACATCAGTATATTGATCAGTTTGCATATATATGCGTCAAATCAGCATTCTAGCTATCGGTTATACTTATTATATAGTGAATTTTGGGCATAAGACGGTTTAACTGATTGATTTCATGATTTTGACACATTCATAGTGATACTGTTGAAGTACATCTACTGATGAAATATTGAATTCTTTTTACAACGGAATGTCATTTTTATAATTTACTTGATGGTGCTTACCAGTGAAATCCGGGATGAGTTTTTCATCCTGTTTGGGGCTTATCCGCTGAATCTACCTGCAGATCAGTGATTGACGGCTTTCTCATCAGTGACAAGGTGGATAACGCTTTGGAACGTGAAGCGATGGATATGAGATTCAAGTCTCGGAGGAAATAACGTTAATCGCAGATACACCAAGCTAGCGAGCGCCAAATAGAACGAAACACACATCCTGATTGCCACTACCAAGTAAATTGTAACATGACCATTGAGTCATAGAGAAGAGATAATTCAGCGAAGAAAATTTTCTTTTTCGACGATATCATTTTCTAAAGCTGTACAATCGTATTTATATATATCATAAACACATAACAGTCTATTATAAAACAATAGGGTATAATTACATCATTAACCTAGTGCCAAACAAAACCGGAATCAAGAATGCAAAGTAGTTGCATAATAAACTAAGACAGTAGAAATATCGAGGAAGGCAAGGAGTTTGACAAGGTGAAAATTGTTGGTAGATAAGAAACACAAATATTGACTGTCCACTTGATAGATAGATGCAAAGAAGGTGAAGAATGAGACAAGGGTCATAATGAAGGTGATAATAATAAACTGATTAATTATAATGAAATCGATAAATGTAAAAGTATTAAGACCATGGTAAGATGAGAGATTGAACATACTTCTTTTGCACGCAGAGATCAGGCTTGAATTGATGAATTGCCAGTGCTTCCGCTGGGCACAACTGTCGCAGGCTCACTCCTTTAGAACTATTCCATCTGAGACGATAAATGACATTGAAGGAGGATTCTGGTCTAGCTTCATGTCCGGAATCCTCCTTCCTCCAGTGACTTCCTGATTCCGAGAAGTTTGTTTTCATATTCAGTGTTACTTAACTTGTCTACCTGTTGATTTCTATGCTCATTGAGCTTGGGAGTTAGCTTTCAACCACACTTGGTCATAGGTTCGAGCCCCATTCCACTTATTGCACAATACTCAATGAATAAGTGTTGCTCATTTTCCAGTACAAGAACGTGTACATATTTGTTGAAGAAAATTTCATGTTTTTTCTCCTTCAGCTAATTTTCTAGCTTATGATATAGGCTTGTTAACATGTGTATAATGACGTTTTGCTTATTTCAATAGAGATTCTATTCATAGTTTTACACTCCTACTCTGTAAAAGGTCAATCAATAGTCTCTGATTTGTAGCACTTTTTAGTTTGTTTGACTTCTCATGGTTTATTTAAGTACAATCAACTACATAACGTTAATTTCATAGGATACATTTGTACTCTTCAGTAAAAGGTGTATCTCTAAACTTATTGTCACATCTCAGATTTCTAAAATGGATTGTACACCACTGAAATAGATGACATTGATGTTTAAAACTAAGATATCAGCATTCATTTTGTATATTTAATGCAACCAAAATGACTGAAGAATTCACCAGCAGTATCTTATATATACTATCACCTTGAGGAGGATACATTTCTTCAAGATTGTATGTATCACTTTCTTAAGCTGGATTGACTAACGTTAAACTTGTCTCTAAAGCTTTCTTGTATTATGTATGGGCTGTATCACATCTTCTGATCAATAGACTTCAGTCGATAATTAAATCAAGACATAATCATCGTTTCTATGCACAGTCCTTTTACTGAAACCGAGGGTATATAGTTATTTTTTAATGAATCGGTAAACAAGTTGATTATCAGAAGTAATTTTGATACAGATTTTTTCAACTTATTCAAATCAAACTTTAGCATTTCTACTTGAAATGGAACCTCATTTGATTTCAATATAGTCAGTGGAATATAATATCAACAGTTGAAATAGGTTGGTGTTTTAAATTTAAAAAGAATTGCATGGGAAATGATGAATAGTGGTTAGCAGTGGGATCCAGGATGTGCATTTCATCCTATTTGAAACTCGTCAGCTGGATATACCTGCTTCCCAGTGATTGGTGTTGTTCCCACCGGGATTCGGACTTTGAAGTAATCGCTTCAAACGCCAGAGTGTTATCCACTACACCAACGACACACGATAGCCACTTCTTGTGGAATTATACTAGAATTGCATGAGTTGCTAGAAAATTGCTTGTATCCAGTAAAAAGTTTCATTAGTTGGATCAGAGTGATTTAAACACTTGAGGTCTAACTTATTTACAATGTTTGTCTCAGGCTGGTATTCATCATCCACTCGGTTCGATCTCTGGCGAGGTCATGGGTGCGCACTGCTAAGGAGTCCTACACTGAGACGAAACAGTTGTCCAACCTTCACAAGTTTCCACCGTTTCTCTAACTAGTTGCTGTCCATGGTGAATATCAACCTGAAACTAATAAATAAATCCCCATAAACTTTCAAAATGAATTATCTTCAATGCTGCCGAATAATTTCTTCTCTCACTGTCACATTGGTTAAAACAACAAAGTCTGACTAGCTGGTTATAGACCTTGAGAAATAGATGTTTTTTCATTCGATAAGAATCTTATTGTAAAACATTTTCATAGATAATGTTTAACTGATTCTGCCTATAATTGGAACCTATTAATTTCTTTATATTATTATATTTCTCAAAAATTAGAGTTGTATATGTACTCTTCTCCTCGCAATATTATACTTACAATTGATCTATTGAATTCAACTATAGATAAATAAATAAATAAATAGATAATGTGAACCTTTTTGTTTGCTTATTTATCTTCATTTCTGAAATGAAAATCCCAAATTGTGCATCATATGAGCAGTACCTTTGATAATTATCGATTTTAAATTTTTCAACAAAAAAATCAATGCCGACGGAAGTTATTATTAATTATCATTGATTTATTCGTTTACTTGTATGAACCATTATACTTTGCACTTTATTATTTTTCTATTAGATCATATCTCTGATAAATATTTTTTGAAGTGATATAGTACTAATTTGTGCTTTTCTGAGTAGTATAATTTTGTCAATTTTTAAATACCGTGTCTATTTCGTTCTGGAGGTTTACGGAGATTTCTTAATCCATTTTAGGTTGGGATTCATCATAGACTGAAATTAGCTGGACGAACATTCGAAACCTGGCAGCATTGAAAAGCTGTTTCGTCCTAGTGTAGGACTCCTCAGCAGTGCGAACCTATCAACCTGCATCACCAGGGATCGAACGCAGCACCTTCGGGTTTTGTGGCCAGCACGTTACCATTAAGCTAGCCACTGGGTCAAAATCTAATGGTCCATATTCCCAACTCCTATCTGTTCGCGACCCCTGTCTGGACGGGGTCATGGGTGCCGACTGCTGAAGAGTCCCATGCTAGGATGAAACAACTGTTCAGTGCTCTCAGGTTTCCAATCTTCCTCGAACTGATGTCAGTCCATGGCGAACACCATCTTGAAATCAATAATAAAATCCCCATAAACCCCCAAATCGAATTGATCTATTGCTCATCGGTGACTAACTTCGAGAGGTGATTCCTGAAGTTCCAATGGGAAGTCGTGACCCGTGGGTAACCTGGTAGCCGTAAGAACAAATATTCAACGATCACATTGTGTAATGGTTGCACTATGTCCTGAACTGACAGAAGTTGTAAATATGAACCACTGGACTCCAACCCAGCGACTCAATAGTAACGTGCTGGCCACGAAACTTGAAGGCGCTGGGTTCGATGCCTGGTGGTGCGGAGTGATGGATGCGCACTGCTGAAGAATCTCATACTAGGACCGAAGAGTTGTTCAGTGCTACCAGGTTCTGAATATTTCTCCAACTGATGTCAGTCCCTGATGAATACCAACTTGAAAAATGAATTTTTAACTCAAAGCCTCCTTTTTTCCCTTTTAATTATTTGACTTTAATTCACTAATTGGATGGTAAAAACCACCGAAATCAACTTTTATATAATCTCAGGCGATTTCTCAGAGGATATTGTGGATGCTGTAATCAAGAGATATTGATTCCTCATGATAGATTGAACATGTGTCATTTTGAATTTGATAAGTAGTTTGTTTTAAATTTTCGACTTGGGAATTCAAGTTTTCTAGCTCAGGTACTCATGCTTCAACTGATGGGTTCGAGCTCTGGTCCTCTTATAGTGGCTTTTTTAGTTGGTTAATATCTCCAGTCCTCAAGCGAAGTATATGCCTCACTGTCTGTTGCTCAGACTTGCAAATAACTGCTGGTTTGTTTTATGATATATGCTTGCTTGTCACCTCGTTTCAGGCTGGTATCATCAAACATGAAATAACCTTCATTAAAAATAGTAATAGGTAGTAACTGAATACTATTTTCTTTCTTCCTTTTTTTCTTATTATTTACAGTTTGTTATACCTTTTATGGCAACAATGCATCATTGTTCTCTCCGATCATGTCTACTTGTTGAACGTGCACTTGTCCGCCTACTGAATACTGTTTGTGCAATACTATCAGCTCAGTTTAAGCCTGGAGTGATACAGAATACTCTTTTACAAAATATGCTTAATGGTGATGAGCATATAAAGGACAACACACCTACTGGTTGTTCAAATGGTCTCCTTTTATTTCGACGTATGTGTATGGGTGTAGTTGATTTAAGTCAAATTAACTCTCATTTAAACAATAATAATAATGATGAGAATATAACAAATGTCAATTTAGAACAATTTAATTTTAATCCAGGACTAGTATCATTAAAAACAATGGAGTCTATTGACTGGGCGATGTGTTTAGAGTGTAACAAAGTGGATAGTGATACTGAAAAGCATACAGCATTCTCATGTGATTTTGAAGAATCACCTTCATTCAACGATAACAGTAACAGAGGATTACCAACAATTGATTCTATTTGTGATCTTTTAGCACCGTATATCTTTCGTGATGGTGATCTGGGTTGGCAGGCTAGAGATTCCTTACTACTGATTGCAGCGTACTCATTGAGAGATGAAGAATTCAGTCATAGTATTGCTAAATATTCGTCAATTTGTGCAGTAAGTTGTTTTCGATATTTTTTCAATACGTTAATTATTGTCTAAACCTATTACTTTCTAGTGATATGATCTAGTTGAGGGATTTAAGGTTGATCTTTTGAAATATGTTGGAGAAAAGAAAGCTTCCGCTGACATACAGGGTGGAATCGCTTGACCTCTGTTGGCAGATAGGCTTCTATACGGATGCCTAGATACTATCGGGTATTCATCTTGGTGATCAGCAGTGGAATCCCAGGATGCATGTTTCGTCCTATCTAGGACTCATCAACTGCATGTACTTGCATCTCAGTGATTCGAACCCAGTACTTATCACTCCAAACGCAAAAGCGTTATACACTGAACCACGAGGATAACGCTTTGTCGTTTGAAGCAATTGGTACTGGGTTTGGGTTTCAGTGGGGTGCAGGTACATGCAGCTCGCGATTCCTAAATAGGATGAGTCGTGCATCCACTGTTAGTTATCAAAATGAAAGAAATCTCCACCCACTTGTAGTTCCTAGAAAAAACATCTAGGATGTTTGGACTGACATCAGCTGAAGGAAGATTGAAAACCTGGAAGCACTGGACGTCTGTTTTGTCCTAGTATGGAACTCCTCACCAGTGCTCATTGTTGACTAGCTTCGATAGGTGATTTCTGAGGTTCCAATGAGAAGTCGTGACCCATGGGGCAAACCTGGTATCCATGCGAGAAAATACTCAACGATGACATTAGGTGATGGTCACGCTGTGATGAGGTGACAGAAGTTGTAAGTATGGACCACTGGACTCCGACCCAGTGACTCAATGGTAGCATGCTCGCCAAAGAACCTTGTAGTGCTACGTTCGATGCCTGGAGGGAGGGGGTGATGGGTGCCCACTGCTGAGGAGTCTTATACTGGGATGAAACACCTTTTCAGTGCTCCAAGGTTTCGAATGTTCTTCCAACTAATGTCATTCCATACCACAGATCGAATCGACGTTTAACCTTTAGAAATTACAATCCACTTCACTTAATATCCACAAATAAGTGGTCTTCAGCGTTTTCACATAGAGTCATTCATCCATTTTCTGTTTTGTTACACAATGGTTTATGTACTTACAAACTGTTATTGACAAGTCAAGTACTCTTGTCTAATTCTATACATAAATAGAGTCCATTGATTCATGCCATGTTATCTAGACTGTTTTTTATGACCTTACAGTTAAGTAAGCAATTATTTTTTACTTCGTGATATTTTTCATTTTCTGGTAAACAAGGTTAATTTAAGACGAAATTTTCGTATTAGCAACAATAAAAAAATCTATTATAGTCTTACTTTTTAGCAGTACAAGATCTTATTTGTGTAGAGTCACAGGAGAGTGATTGCTAAGTTTTTATGCGCATTTAGTCTGTTCTACTCGTGTGTGTAAGATTGCCTTCGGCATTGTTATGCGTTTCTATCTTCAAACAGTCTAATCAGTTTTCCGATTCAATATTTATCACTTACCGTAATCGCTATTTCATAAACATAGTTTAACTATCTTGATAAACATTTGTCAGTTAGATGTGTTTGAGACAAACTTGGGAAAAATGTATCACCTCAATATGAGACTGGAATTCAATTAGTATTACACTCAAATACGTTACTGCTGGACTTTAACTGCTGTACATTAGTAATAACTTGAAAACATCATGATCCAGTAAACATGTACAAATTCATGTTATAGAATGTAAACTACGCTTGTTTTATGACAGCTAGTGATATTACCTGAATACCTAACTCTCAACAGGTGAAACGGCCCTTATGATCGTAACCGATTGCTTAAATACCAGTAATACTAGACTAATAAACCATTTTATGAAAACAGCTTAAGTTTTCTGATTGAAGAATGTGTGATAATCAGCATCATAATCTCTCTGTTAGTCACCAGTCAGACAGACAGACAAAATCAACGTAGAACCCCGCACACAAGTGCATAAATTCAAGTTGCCATACTTCATACTAGCATACAAAGAACAGGTGGATAGAAAAGGAGTGATTTCAAAGTGAAGTTGTTTCAGCGAATAAGCAATTTGAAGATGAAGGTTAGTACAAATATTCAAGTTTTAGAAGACGTCAAGCAGTAAATACATCTGCACCACTGTTAACTGGTTCTCATCCATGTCACCAACGGTTCCCCGCCACTGATTTCTGTCGTCTCGGAGACCCAGGTCAGGTAGTCTACATTTCCCCAAATGACTCAAGCCAATATTTAAGGGCTTCATCAACTGATCCCAGGTGTTGGCCTAACCACCCTAAACATTCTTCCAACCTAATACAACTTCCCTTGGCATGACACGTCAAGGTAGGTAGTGACTTGGCGTGCTCAGTACATATTCAAGCCATCTCAGCCGATAAAGGTTCAAAACCTCATCAGCCGGTTTGCCTGTCTTGCCTAGTACCCTTCGTTTGACGTAAACTACGAAAATATCTGTGATCAAAGCCACGTAGTCGCCTCATGTCTTCTACTTTCAACAGCCATAAACCGTAATTTATACTGTGTACTGGTTGAAAGTGAAATGGCAGGATTCGCACTAGGGACCATCGAGTTACCTTCCCAATGCTCTACCAACTGACATATGAGTCCCAACTGCTGTCCAGATTTTTACTTCACTTCAGTCAAGGGCTGGAAACCTAGCAGTTGCTGGTTTGAATCTTGCCGCGGTCTTAATGTTCATTTCATCTCCAATCATCACCCTAGTATCAGTGCAAATCTACCAAACCACGGTTACAATTTCAGATAATGAGACTGAAAATGTAATTTTTCTAATTAAATGTTTGCCACACTTACTGAGATTTGTTTATTCAAGTGTTCAAATAGAAGTATTTGGGATGAATTTCGAAATTGTTACACAGATTTACTGATAATCAAGTGAATGAGTTAATACACCTCAATTCTCCTTCTATACATATCTAAACTCCAACTTCAAATTAGCATAAGTGCGATTGAACTGAAACGCATTCTTTTATGCACTAGAAGCTACAGACCAAATTCTTTGAATATGAATAATTCTGATACTATTTACCCAGTTTAAAGTACATGGAGTTCATTTATTGTCAGTGCTTATAAAATCTACACTCTGAGAAAACTTATCATCTGCATTACGTATTCGTACCCAATTCACTTCATGTTACAGTTGGAAAAATAGGCCAATAATATACCCGCTGACTACCTTAAACCAAAGCAAAATAGTTCTGTTTACCATTGGAATATATTTAGACTATGGATCTAATTTTCCCGATCAATAATTTATGTGTATGTCGCCTAGTTGATATATGTAAACAAAACGAGTATGTTCATGTTTTAACTGGTCAGGATCAAGTTAAAGGCGGTCAGTCGATAAAGTTGCTGAATGCTAGTATGAACAGTATAATGAATTGTTGCTTGTTGAAGACTCCTGGCCGATCTGATTAGCCTGAATGCATCCACACATAATCTTAGTTGTGATCATCATAACACATTTTATTATTTGCTTTATTCACTATCTTTCTTTCCCTATAATAATCTGCTACTTTTGTTTACATTACTTCTCAGTTTTCGCCTTTCTTCTTGTCACCTTGTATCTGGACGTGATGGTGTATAAAGTAGCAACTTGTACTGTTACACGAAAGATGATCGACTAAAAACAAGGTTGATAAGATTATTTTAAAAACCAAAGATAGAGTAAAGATGAGTAGGAGATAGGCACCATGTACCTTGGCTTAAAGTCATTCATATTTAAAGCATTAATGAAATCGAAGCAAAATACTCAATATAATAATCAAGAAGTGTTTATCCTCTCAATGGTTCTTGGAGTTCATCTGTAGAATAAACTAGTAGATCACGAGTTCAAGCCGCACTTAGACTACTAAGGTTTGGGCAGTCAGGTAGTATTACTAGCCCTAAAATAATTGGGGCAGTTCATTACCTCCTGCATAAACTTGAGTTACATTGCAGGCAAACTTAAAGATACATGATACAGAGGAAACTCATGATCATCATTATTATCAACATAGGACCAGGCATTACTGCGTAACGGTCCGAGTTGCCACACCTCATATCAGCACATCAAGTAAAAAGGTAGTGAGGTGAAGGATGAAGATAAGTGAATGCAGTCAAAAGAAATATAAAGTACGAGAAGAAAGGAAAGAGGAGTGACAAAATGGTGAGATTCGGTATAGCGTTGTTAAGATGAGGATAATGTGTGTATACATCTGCGCCACTGACTTCGGTTCTGAGCCATATCACCTAGGGTCTCCAACCACTGGTTCCTCTTGTCCCGTGGACCCCAACCACCTAGTCTGCATCGTCCTACATGGCTTAAACCAACAGTCAGAGACTTCATACATTGGTGCCATGTTTTAGTCTGGCCACCTCGGGCCTTTTTCCAGCCTGAACCCACCTCAGCCAACATTGTGTGACGAGGCAATCGGTGACTAGGCATACGTAGTACGTGTCCCAACCATCTCAGTCGATGAAGGTTCACAACCTCGTCGACTGACTTACCTCTTCTCCCTAAAACTCTACACCTAACTTCTGCATTACACCACGGAATACGTCCTATACTACGAAGGCAACGGTGGTCAAACACCTGAACCCTTTTCATGTCTTCCACTTTCAATGGCCATGTTTCACAGCCATACAGTAGAACAGAGCGGACTGCTGTGCAGTACACGCGACCCTTAATAGACAAACGAATATCACGGCGGCGCCATAGGTGGCGCAAATTGGCAAAAGCCAATCGAGCCTTTTGTATCCGTGCAGAAATCTCATCGGCAACTAACCCACCGGGTTGATCCTACTTCCCAGGTAAGTGAAGTGGTCAACACACTCAACCACTTCACTCTCTATTGTTAACCGCGGTACCGCTGAAGACCAGTCCTGGAGCAAAAATTTGCATTTGGGTGGTGAAAATCGCATCCCAAACATTCTCAAATTCCCACTCAAAGTGTTCAGAAGACTCTGCATCTTGTCAGCGTCTTCACCTAACAGGACTATGTCATCTGCATATTCTAGATCTA